GTAATTGATGAAACATAGGTACGTATGTAAAAAAGCGGGTAAGTCGTAGATGTCACTGCTATACAGTAAGTTACAAGTGGGTTACTGTAATAGATGGAATTAAATTTGAATCCAATGATATTAWATCATTGTATACGAAAAATGTTTCTGAGCGGAGATGGATTATCTGTCTAGGATATTATATAGATTATTAAAAATTTTCAAATCTTAGATTTAAAAAGAACATTTTTATGAATATCTAACTTAAAATAATTTGAGAATTTTCGTGATTTTTACGTATGTTATCAAAATTCAAACTTTGAATGCTTGTAAAAAAAAAATTGTGACTGTGTATTTCACTTATTTTTCAACTGCTATTGTAAAATTATGTTAGGAGACTTGGATTAAATTTTCAAACCTTAGATTTAAAAAGAAAACCTTTTATGAATTTCTATCTAAGATAATTTGAAAATTGACGTAATGTTTACGTATTTAGTCAAAATTTGAACTATAAATGCTTATAAAAAAAAATTGTGCCTATGTATTTTTAATTTTTTTCAACTGCTGTTGTAACAATGTGTCAGCTGTCTTGAATTATCAGGCTTTTCTACTCAACAAATACATTTTTATCGATATTAATTTTTTTTTTAACTAATAATGATTGAAAATTSCATATACCTATAAATAGTTCAACTTTAGTCGAATTTATTGGGAACTTTTTTTACTTTTGACCCCCCCCCCCTCCAAAATACCAACTAGATTCACTTCTGATCGAATGAGGTACTGAAGTAGAAAATCTAAGTACTTTTACTGACCCAAAACGTGATGACGGACACAAAAAAAAAAAGCAGGTAAGTGGATGTCGCTCCGCTGTACATTAGGGGTTGGGGTGGACCTCTGACTAGGGTAGGTTAGATTTGAATGCAATGATAGGTAACATTGTATACGAAAAACAATTCTGAACGGAGATGATTTGTCAGTCTAGGATATATTATATTCAAATATTGTCATATATTCTATTTTGAAACATATATATTATTTTTCAATTAGAACGCATTTTAATATTTTAAATAAGGCATGGTTAATTAATTTTTCCAAAAACATTGCATGTTGTTATCATAATTCATAATACCTTATATTATCATAAATATACATCATATACCTAGCTGGTTTGAGGATAAATCGTTATCGTTACCTACGCTATTTCGTAAAATTTTAAAATTCAAACGTACTTAAAATTTTTCCTATAATGTTATTTCGAGTTTTCTCTATAGTTACTTGAAGGAAAACTTAYGGAMAACTTAGTGTTGTATTTTTAATCCTTATTTATAAACACAAAATTTTTTATGATTTTTCAATTTCAAAATTTCTTGCAAATTTT